GTCGTCAAACTTGGCAGCTTTAAGACTTGTGGACTTCAACTCCCAGAATTCTCCAGCCAGCATCCATCCAGCATAGCTGGCTGGAGAATTCTGGGAGTTGAAGTCCACAAGTCTTAAAGCTGCCAAGATTGAAGACCTCTGCTTTATATCTTGCTTTGTTTGGGGGGGGGGGGGGAGTCAGGAGCAGAACGCAGGGTATATACTATATATTGCCCTTTTTGCCATGTATCTCTGCAACAGGAAAGCTGAGAGGTAGATTTGGCTAAAAGACCGATCCAGAGTCATCCATCCAGCTTTCATGCCTTAGGGAGGACTGCAACCTGGATCTTTCCTATGCCAGACTGATACCTTCACCAGAACATCCCACAGAGTAGCTGAGAGAGAGGGACTGGTCCAAGGTTCCTCAGAGAACTTCCAGAGGACTGGAATTTGGATTTTCCTGCTCTTAGTCCAGGATCCTCACCAACTGCACCCTAAAATTTTAGGCTGAGAGGGAGGTAGGGATTATCTCAGAAAGACTCGAGCAACAAATTAAATAAATTTAAATAAATAAATAAATAAACTTGCATGGTTAAAGGACAGCTTGAAATCTGTCTGTCTGTCTGTCTCCATCCATCCATCATCTAAAACCCATCCATCTATCAACTATATACTCATTCATCATCCATCTATCCAATCATCCATCAATTATCCATCCATCCATCATCTATCTATCTATCTATCTATCTATCTATCTATCTATCTATCTATCTACCTACCTACCTACCTACCTATCATCCATCCATCCATCCATCATCCATCCATCAACTATCTACTCATTCATCATCCATCCATCCATCCATCCATCCATCCATCCATCCATCCATCCATCATCTCTCTCTCCATCCATCCATCCTTTATCTATCTACCCATATCTATCTATCTATCTATCTATCTATCTATCTATCTATCTATCTATCTATCCATCCATCCATCATCCGTCCATCCATCATCTATAACCCATCCATCTATCAACTATCTACTCATTCATCATCCATCTATACAACCATCCATCAATTATCTATCCATGCACCCATCCTTCCATCCATCCATCCTCTATCTATCTATCTATCTATCTATCTATCTATCTATCTATCTATCTACCTACCTACCTACCTACCTACCTACCTACCTACCTACCTACCTCATATATTCAATATATCTCTTTTATTTGGTTTAGACCCAGGTTCATACAGCATTCTCTCCCTGCCATTTTTGTGTAAAAGGAGCAGGGATGGAATAAAAAAAATAGCTGCCAGAAAGGCAGCTATGAATTCTCGAAGCGTCCTGAGGTCACACAATCACTTTCTGTGATCTTCTGACAAGCCAAGTCAATGGGGGAAGCCAGATTCACTTAACAACCATATTCCTAACTTCACAACTTCAGTGATTCACTGAACAACCGCGGCCGGGAAGGTCACAAAACTGGGGGAAAAATTCATTTAACACATGGTTCGCTTAGCAACGGAAATGTTGGGCGGCGCAATTGTGGTCATAAGCCGAGAACTTCCCGTAGTTAGAGAATGCTGAGTCACGCATGAGGCGATCTACGCTGTGATTGGTTGCTGAGGGTGTGAAGGAGGCGTTTCCCTTTCCCCCCGCCGTTTTCTTCTGTGTGAATTTACCTCATGATGATGTTCCTGTCTTTCTGATTATCTTGTGTTGTTTCTCTCTGGATGATAACAAAGACCGTAGCAAAAATCCCTGCGGGCCCCCCCTCCCATGCCCAGCTGAGCCGCGCGATCATCAGAGGCTTTTTTTTTTTTACTTTTAAAAGCATTTTTTCTACAACCTCTTTGGCTGAAAAAATGCTTTTAAAAGTTAAAAAAAAAAAAAGTTGGCCACGCCCACCCAGTCACATTACCCCCCCACTAAGCCACGCCCACAGAACCGGTAGTAACAAATTTTACATTTCACCACTGCCACTAAGCATACGCCGCAGTCATTAAGTGAATCCTTCAGTTGTTAAGCAAACACTACAGTCATTAAGCGAACTCGTTTTTTTTTAAATCAATGGATGTTTTTTTTTTTTGCTGAAAACTGGAAATATATGTAAGAAACTGGCAAAAAAACCACCAAAAATTGTGATCACATGACTGTGGGATACAATAAGCGGCCATGAGTCGGTTGCCAAGCCCCCAAAATGTGATCACATGATTGCAGGTCATGTGCGCGGTCATTGACACTTTGAAATTGGGTCATAAGTAGCTCTCGGGAGGTCCGTCGTAACTTTGAACAGTTGCCAAGCAACTAGTTGTTAAGCAAGGACTACAAGTTGAACCAGCCTTGAGACGGACTGCGATGAACTTCTATCCCCTTTAAGTTTTGTTTTTGGGGTAAAAGACAATATAGGTAATCCTCAAATTATGACCACAGCTGAGCTCGATATTTCTGTGGCTAAATGAAGCATTTGTTAAGTGAGTTTTGCCCCATTTTTCAATCTTTTGTGCCACAGTTGAAGTGAATTGTTGCCCTTGTTAAGTTAGTAACATGGTTGTTAAGTGAATCTGGCTACCCCGCTGATTTTGCTGGTCAGAAGGTCTCAAAAGGGGATCACATGACCCCGGAGCACTGCAGTCGTCATAAATATGAGTCAGATGTCAAGCTCCTGAATGTTGATCACATGACCATGGGGAGGCTGCAACGGACATAATACACTTACTTATATACTGCTTTACAGTACTTTACAGCCCTCTCTAAGCGGTTTTTACAGAGTCAGCCTATTTCCCCAACAACCTGGGTCCTCATTTTACCAACCTCAGAAGGATGGAAGGCTGAGTCAACCTTGAACTTGGTGAGATTCGAACTGCCAAATTGCAGGTAGCCGGCAGTCAGCAGGAGCAGCCTGCACTACTGCGCTCTAACCGCTGTGCCACCAATGCTCACTAAATGTGAAAAACTGTCATGAGTCACTTTTTTCAGTGCCACTGTAACTTCGAATGGTCACTAAACGACCTGTGTATAAGTCGAGGACTATCTGTATTTGAGATAGAACACATCATTTGAAGTCTTTGGATAGAAAGTTTCAAGTGGGCTTTTTGTTCTGAGCCCTGAAACTAAACATGTTCCCCTGTTTTATGCACAACCTACTTCTTAATTGCTAGTGGAAAAGAGTTGGCAGCCATCGCAAGGGAAATGGCTGGCAGAACTAGAGGGCACAGATGCGGTTTTGCAGCGCAGTTGCATTGCCAAGAACAAATTGCCTTCTTGGTTTCTGCCACCCTGATGTCCTATTGGTGACAATAGCATCGTTTGCACCTAAGAAAAGATTTATCACTTCCTTCCAGGTTGACATAAAATGAGCGTCTCTAGGATAACGCTTTGCAAAATTCAGAAGAAAACTAGGCACTGATTGGCTTATACCTTACAAAGTTGACAATACATCTCCATCTTATGTGCATTATATTATTATTATGTGTTGTTTCCATATATCTCTATTGCTGCTATCCATGTATTTTATGCCCTACATCAGATAGATGGATGGATGGATGGATGGATGGATGGATGGATGGATGGATGGATGGACGAGAGATATGTAGGTAAGTAGATAGATAGAAAGAGAAGATAGACAGACAGACAGACAGACAGACAGACAGATGAGAGAGATGGAGAGATAGAGTAGAGTAGAGTAGAGTAGAGTAGAATAGAATAGAATAGAATAGAATAGAATAGAATAGAATAGAATAGAATAGAATAGAATAGAATAGAAGTTGGAAGGGACCTTGGAGGTCTTCTAGTCCAACCCCCCTGCTTAGGCAGGAAACCCTACACCACTTCAGACAAATGGTTATCCAACATCATCTTAAAAACGTCCAGTATTGGAGCATTCACGACTTCTGGAGGTAAATTGGTCCACTGATAAGAGAGATAGGTAGGTAAGTACAGTAGATAGATAGATAGATAGATAGATAGATAGATAGATAGATGAGAGAGATGAAAGAGATAGATAGGTAAGTAAGTGGATGGATGGATGGATGGGTGGATGGGTGGATGGATGGATAGATAGATAGATAGATAGATGAGAGAGATGAAAGAGATAGATAAGTAAGTGGATGGATGGATGGATGGATGGATGGATAGATAGATAGATGAGAGAGATAAAAGAGATAGATGGAGAGATAGGTAAGTAAGTAGATGGATGGATGGATAGATGGATGGATGGATAGATAGATGAGAGAGATGAAAGAGATAGATGAAGAGATAGGTAGGTAAGTAGATGGATAGGCAGGGAGGCAGAAAGGCAGATAACTGATTGGCTATTGGCAGCCCACCTGACTCAAGTGAGATTGCAGCTGGTTTACATTTCACTCTCTTGATTTTCAAATCCAGACCATAATATCCATGAGTGCCAGTGAGTTGTGGCCATGCCATCACTGTCTCCTCTTAACAATGTGTCAGCCAGTCCTTCTAAATGCACTAGAAATGGGGAAAAGGCTTGCCTGTTACATATTCCCCGCATTAATTTTGATTGAATGAAGTCCCTCAGCCGTCCGTGCAGGATTCAGATTTTGTCTGTCTTGGGAAATATTTTGTGTTGACTACAGGTAGTCCTCAACTTACGACAATAACAGAACCCAAATTTTTTGTTGCTTATTGAGACAGTTCAGTGAGTTTTGTCCTGTTTTATAACCTTTCTTGCCATAGTTGTTAAGTGAATTGGGCTTCCCCATTGACTTTGCTTGTCAGGAGATCACAAAAGGGGATCACGTAACTCAGGGACACTGCGACCGTCATAAATATGAGCCAGTTGCCAAGCGTCTTAATTTTGATCAGGTGACCGTGGAGACACAGCAATGGTCATAAGTGTGAAAAATGGCCATAAGTCCCTTTTTTTAGTGCCGTTGCAACTTCGAACGGTCAGTAAATGAACTGTTGTAAGTCGAGGACTACCGGTATCTAGCCAATGCTAAGTAGGATGGAGATAATGATGTGAGATACCAACTGCCTTGTTTCTTTGCTAGTGAGCCGCACTTTAGCTGGCAGAGTGATGACGAGCAGGCGAACTGGACTAACACCTCCAATTTCATGGATGGCGGAGCTCTGAGGAATGGAGGTGGCGCAGGCAGCAGGTACAGAGATTGGGGGCACAGCCCTGGAACGGTGCCAGCCTGTTCTGCCCCAGCTACGGACCCCAAAGAATGCAGCACACACAAAGTGGTTTACCAGTAAACCAAAGTTTACTGGTTTATTCGGTAAACTTAGTTTACTGAATAAACCAGTCTTTTACAACAATGGCTGTTAATTAATTGCATTAACAGCCGCCAAGAATTCAAAGAATAATAACTGAAAGCTTACTATGGTTGGCAGAATGCCCAGAAGCAATTTGCAGGAAGCTGATAAGATAAGCAAGACAAGACACGAAGGTATGTGAACGAAGTTGTTCCCTGCAAATTGCTTCAGTCGGCGTTCCTCCTTAAATAGGCTAAGGGAGTGGCCAATTAGCCCCAAGCCTTACTCTCGAGGAGACCTTCTCCTGAGGAGCCACTCCTGCCTTTTGGCAGCTCTGCGCGCCCGTCCCGTGCATCGAGAAGAGGCTCCTCCTCTTCGTTCTCTTTACTTAAGGGAGCTTCTGGAGGTTCTGAAGGCCCTGGCGAAATCCCCGCCTCTGGCACCACATCTTCTCCAGCCTCCTCATTGTCCGACTCGAGTGCCAGCTGCACAGGCTGCTGGCACAGCACCACACCAGCCTCCTCGCTGTCAGAATCAGCTACTAGCTGCACAGGCTGCGTACGAACCACAACACAGCCCTGCAACAGACCCTTGAGATGAACCAGGAAGGCATCATAACTTGTTCATGTGGCACATGCTTTCCATGTAGAGCTGTGGTGTTCAACCTTGGTCACTTTAAGATTTTGTGGACTTCAACTCCCAGAATTCCCCAGCCAGCCAACATGGCTGGCTGGGGAATTCTGGGAGTTGAAGTCCACCAAAATCTTAAAGTGACCAAGGTTAGATGCTCCTGATGTAGAGACAAGAGGGATCCAACCTTAAAAGTCCTCTACAGCTGAAGAAAGTGGAATACAGGTAGTCCTCGACTTACAACCTCGACTTACGACTTACAGAATTTCTGTCGCTAATTAATTAAGACATTTGTTCAGGGAGTTTTGCCCCGTTTTACAACCTTTCTTGCCGAAGCTGTTAAGTGAATCACTGCAGTTGCTAGGTTAGCGAGACAGTTGTTAAGTGAATCTCGCTTCCCCATTGACTTTGCTTGCATTAAGTCACATTTTACTGTGCCATTGTAACTTTGATCACTAAATGAATGGTTTGTAAGTCCAAAACCACTTATGGTGAGATTCCAGATTTTTGCAAGTCAGGTTTGCATATTTTTGGAAAATAAGTGCATTTGTATAGAGATGCATTCTGAATTATTATTTTTTTCTGAGAAGTGTGAATATTTAAAACTGTGTGGAACATGGGTACCTGGGTCAGATCCTGTTTGTATTTGTCCATGCATCCATGCGCTAAATAGCGGTAAAAGTTTCAAGATTGTCTTACTTTTCTGAGACAGCTGACTTCAGGCTATCTGGTTGAGTTTTCTGGAATTGCTTTTGTTAATGACGTACATTTCAGGCATTCTTTCTTTTTAATTGTATATCCGAGTTGTACAATAGTGCAATACTGTTCTATTGTTACACGCCATTATACAGCTTGTCAATCTTTGTCCAATGCACAGATGAATTTGATATGTATATTTTGGTTTTGTGGGCCCCATCCAGTCATTAGCACTACTGCAGGTTTGTGTATTTAATAACCTTCGTGCAGAAAAAAAGAGAAATTGAACTGGAGACAGTGAGCCACAGGAAGCAAAATTCTCTTTATTTATCCATCACTGTCTGGGGCTCTCCGTTATTATTTCTCTTGTGCCAGTCGCTTTTCTTAAAATATATGATCCGATATTGATTTTGTAAAATGCCTCGGCTGCTGGGCTGTTCAGATTTCTGTCAGTTTGAAACAACAGCAGACTAATCTGGAATATTAAATATTTGATTTAATTTAAATTTAATTTAATTGACAGTGAGAGTTGTACATGATTGCACTGACAGGAAAAATATACAAAATATACAAAACCAGATTCTTCAAGGCAAGATTTCCCCAGTCTCTCTACGAGCAAATATAGATAGTTCTTGACTTACAACCGTTTGTTTAGTGACCGTTTGAAGTTACAACAGCATTGAAAAAATAACCTAGGACCATTTTTCATACTTAGGACCATTGCAGCATCTCCCTGGTCATATGATCAAAATTCAGAAGGGTTGCAGAGTCCTGGTGTCATGTGATCACCTTTTTGCAAATTTCTGACGAGCAACGTCACTGAGGAAGCCAGATTCACTTAGCAACTGAGTTACTAACTTAAAACTGCACTGATTCACTTAACAACTGTGGCGAGAATGGTCATAAAATGGGGCAAACCCACTTAACAACTGCCTTGCTTAGCAACAAAAAGAATTTGACTCAATTGTGGTCATATGTTGGGGACTGTCTGTAGACTAATGAACTGTGTCAGGTCTTTGAGATGACTATAAAAGCACCAGCATTGTTCATATAATGCCTTGATGGTGAAGCTATGGCACGCGTGCCACAGGTGGCACATGGCGCCATATCTGTCGGCACGCGATTGTTGCCCTAGCTCAGCTCCAGCATACATGTGCGCGCCGGCCAGCTGATTTTCAGGCCTTCTGGTCCCACCGGAAGTCAGGAAATGGGCTGTTTCCAGCCTCCGGAGTGCCTCTTGGGGGGTGGGGAAGACTGTTTTCGCCCTCCCCAGATTCCAAGAAAGCCTCTGGAGCCTGGGAAGGGTGGAAAACGGGCCTACCTGGCCCACCATGCCATGACATGCCAAAAGCGGGGAAAGCACGGGGGGTCGTGCACACATGCACTGGCGGGCGGGGCACATTGAATTGTGGGTGTGGGCACGCACACGCGCAACCCCCCCCCCACGCTTTTGGCACGCGACAGCAAAAAGGTTAGCCATCCCTGATAGAATGCACCAAGACCTCAAAGTTCGCTTTTCCACAGCAGGCTGAACCTAGATAGGGTTCTTGCTTGCTTCAGATCCAGCCCATATTTATTCACATTTATTGATTAAGTTTATTTGCCACCCATCTTAATATATAGAAACAATTCTGGGTGGATTACAGCATTAAAACATAGTTTATGGTTCTGGGTCATTTTGCAAACTCAGAAAATAGGTTCATTTGGTAACCAAAGGAAGAATTCGTGTGAACAAAGCTGTTGCATTTTTTTGGGGTGGGTTTTGGGTGGGCGGGCCTGTTTCTTCATTAGCCTGTCCATTTCCTCACTGACAGAATAGGAGAGTTGGAAGGGACCTTGGAGATCTTCTAGTCCAACCCCCTGCTCAGGCAGGAAACCTTACACCCTTTCAGACAAATATTTGTCTAATCTCTTCTTAAAAATCTCCAGAGTTGGAACACAAATTCTGGAGGCAAGCTGTTCCACTGATCAATTGTTCTGTCAGGAAAGTTCTCCTTAGTTCTAGGTTGCTTCTCTCCTTGATTGGTTTCCATCCGTTGCTTCTTGTCCTTCCCTCAGGTGCTTTGGAGAACAGGTTGACCCCACTCTTCTTTGTGGCAACCCCTTAAATATTGGAAGACTGCTATCATGTCACCCCTATTACTTCTTTTCATTCAACTAGACACACCCTATTTTTGCAACCATTCCTCCTCATACATTTTAGCCTCCAGCCCCCAATCATCTATGTTGCTCTTCTCAACATCCTTTTTTGAGACTACTCTACATGCCAGTGATGGTTAACCTTTTTACCATCGTGTGCCATGAGCGGGGTGTGTGGTGGGGGTGTCGTACACACACGCGTGCCCACACCCATAATTCTATGCTCCCCGCCCCCACGTATGTGTGCGACCCCTTGCTCCCCCCACTCCTGGCACGTGATGCCCAGTAGGCCCGTTTTTCTTTCTCCCTTGGCTCCAGGGCCTCTCTAAGAGTCTGGGGAGGACGAAAACGGCCTCCCCCACTCCCCGCTGGAGGTCCGCCGGAGGCTGAAAACGGCCTGTTTAACAACTTCCGGTGGGACAGGAAGGCCCGTTTTTTGCTGTCCCCAGCCTCCAGGGCCTCCCTAGGAGTCTGGGGAGGGCAAAAACGGCCTTCCTCATCCCTCCGGAGGTGCTCCGGAGGCCAAAAACGGCCCGTTTAACAACTTCCGGTCCCACCGGAGCTGAGCTCGCATGCCCACTGATATGGCTACGCGTGCCACCTGTGGCACGCATGCCATAGGTTCGCCATCACGGGTATATGCTCTACAAACTACAGTTAGATGTGTGGGACTTATGAGATTGGTCGACAAACTTATTCGGAAAGTGCACCCAGTTGTGTGAAGATGATGCTAGAAGCAGTGAGACCTGACATTTATTTTTGTATCTCATTTGTTCTTCCTCAGGTACTTTGAATATTATGATGGTCCTTTTGACTACAACTCTACAAAATGTCTGGATCTAAGGCGGGAAATAATGGAGTTGAAGGTTCTGACGGCGTAAGTAGGAACTGTTCATTCCTGTTCTCCTAGGCAACGCTGAACCGAAGGCTTGGCAAAATCCAGCCTTTTTTTGTCCAGAATAGGTTGTTTTCAAGTTTACAGGGATGCTCAGAATGTGTAAGGCAGGGGTGTCAAACTAGATTTCTTTGAGGGCTGGATCAGCATTGTAGTTCTCCTCCGCGGGGGGGGGGAGGAGACAGGACAGATGCCTCCTGCAGCACATTACTGGCTAAAACAGGGCAAGCGGAAGCCTCCCGAGGCCCCCCTGTGGCCCGTTTTCAGCCTCCCCGGCCTCCTGCAGCACTCTGGTGGCCAAAAATGGGCCATGCAGAGGTCTCCTAGGTCCCTGCGTGGCCTGTTTTCGGCCTCCAGTAGCACTCATCCAGCCAAAAATGGGCCATGTGGAGGTCTCCTAGCCCCTGTCCGTTTTCAGCCTCCTTGTCCTCCTGCAGCACTCTGGCGGGCAAAAATGGGTCATGTGGAGGTCTCCTAGGCCCCTGCGTGGCCTGGTTTTGGCCTCCCCAACCTCCAGTAGCACTCTGCAGCCAAAAACGGGCCATGTGGAGGTCTCCTAGGCCCCTGTCCGTTTTCAGCCTCCTTGTCCTCCTCCAGCACTCTGGCGGGCAAAAATGGGTCATGTGGAGGTCTCCTAGGCCCCTGCGTGGCCTGTTTTTGGCCTCCCCAACCTCCAGTAGCACTCTGCCAGCCAAAAACGGGCCATGTGGAGGTCTCCTAGGCCCCTGCATGGCCTGTTTTCAGCCTCCAGTAGCACTCTGCCAGCCAAAAAATGGGCCATAGGAGGCCCCGTGAGGCCTCCGCACTGCCAGTTTTTGGTCGGCAGAGTGCTGGAGGAGGCCAGGGAGGCCTAAAATAGGCCGCGGGAGGGGGGGCATTCAGCCCATGTCAGGGTTCCAACTGATGCCCTAATAAAAGCAGAAGCCTCAAAGGAAGCTTCCCTAACTTGCTTCCGAGTTGCCAGCCTGTTTTGGCTGGCAGAGGCACCATGGGCTGGTCCTTTGACATTTCCAGACCGGCCTCGTGGACTGGATTTAAGCACCCTGTGGGCCGGATCTGGCCCGCAGGCCTTAAGTTTGACCACCCCTGGTGTAAGGTTTTCCTGTAAGGGTTGGTGAGTAACAGTGAGGTGCAGTGGTGGGATCCTCCCGGTTTGGTCTGGTTCAGCCGAGCCGGTAGGGGTGACGATATGTATGTGTAAGGTCTTGCCTCTCCAATCTTCCCAAGAAAGCAGGACTCTTGAAACTGCAGTTGTTCCAAAAGGAGCTTTTATTGGAAGGTTTGTGATAACAAGAGGTCTAGGCAAGAACTGAAGCTTTTCACTTAAAACCAGCTATTTAAAGGAATGCTAACCAAAACCCTCCCACACTAGATCATTGTAGGGAAACAGAAACTTCATATAGAGATTAACACAGTAATGCAGGAAACAGAAACAGAAACTGTAAGCAGAAACTTCATAGACAGACCACTTCATTCCTTTCCCCCCTTCCTCCCACCAAAATGCCAGCGTCCCTGTAGAAATATCTGGGACCTGACAGTATGTGTATATATTGGGTATCCTGTGGTTTTCTTTGCTTTTGGAAGTGTGTGTGTGTGTGTCTGTGTGTGTGTATAGAGATACACAGATACTCTTCCTTGACCAGGACAAGATTGCATTCTTGTTGTCAAAATTGGGATGTAGATGCTGCTACTTTTGGAATTCAGCTCTAAGGTGACCATTTCTTTCTGCCTATTTCAGAGCGAAGCAGACGGAATTGTTTGAAAGATGGAAGAATCTTCAGATCTGCAAATGGGAGCTGAATATCACAGAGGCCAACTTCTTCAAGTAAGATGGGGTGAACCTGGGGCTAAGAGAGTTTAGAAAACCTGATCCAATCCCTAACCCCAAACTACATCTTAACAGAGAAAATGGATAATTGTTGTGGGAGCTTCATCGCTTGAGACTTTCAAGAAGAGATTGGACTGCCATTTGTCAGAAATGGTGTAGGGTCTCCTGCTTGGGTGGGGGTGGGGTTGGACTAGATGACCTACAAGGTCCCTTCTAACTCTGTTAATCTGAATCTGAATCTGATTGCAAGTTTATTGTTTTTTCAGCTCCAGGCAGAAGTGTAAATTAATTCATTTCTACTACTGTGAGCAAATCTGCCTAGCGGTATTTTATTTAAAACCAGTCAGATGACATAGGAACAATGACCCAGCCAATGTGATATGTTCAACAAACCTCATTACAGGACCAAGTCAGTGAATCAGATGATGGTCCCTCTGAGCTGTGTCTCCTCCAACATAGCAGGTTTAAATGTGTTGGGATTGAGATAGGCTGGGTTTGGAATTTTGGGAGTCCTGAGAGACACCAGATAGGAGGAAACTGGATTACCTAATGTCAGACATCTGCTCTTGATGTTCTCAGACAGTCTTCACATTTCTACTTAGAATAGCATAGAATAACAGAGTTGGAAGGGACCTTGGAGGTCTTCTAGTCCAACCCCCTGCCCAGGCAGGAAACCCTATAGCCATGATGGCGAACCTATGGCACACATGCCACAGGTGGCACGCAGAGCCATATTGGTGGGTACGTGAGCATTGCCCTAGCTCAGCTGATTTTTGGGCCTTCCGGGCCCACTGGAAGTCAGGAAAAAGGCTATTTCCGGCCTCTGGAGGGCCTCTGGGGTGGGGAGAGGCTGTTTTCACCTTACCCAGGCTCCTAGAAAGGCTCTGGAGTCTGGGGAGAGTGAAGAACGGGCCTTCCAGTCCCACTGGAAGCAAACGGGCTGTTTTCAGCCTCAGGGGGTATGGGGAAGGCTGTTTTCACCCTCCCCAGGCTCTAAGAAAGCCTCTGGAGCCTGAGGAGGGCGAAAAATGGGCCTACTGGGCCCACTGTGCCATCACGTGCCAAAAGCGGGGGGAGTGTAGGATTGTCGTGCACGCGTGTCGGTGGGGGTGACGACGACGGGGGTGGGCTCACTGAATTATGGATGTGGGCACATATGGGCGCGACCCCCCCCCCACTTTTGGCACACAACAGCAAAAAGGTTAGCCATCACTGCCCTATAGCATTTCAGACAAATGGTTATCCGTTCTCTTATTTATTTATTTATTTATTTATTTATTTATTTATTTATTTATTTATTTAATCAATTTATAATCATAAATTGGTTCAATTTATATGCCACCCTGCTCCGGAGACTCCGGAGACTCTTATTAAAAACTTCCAGTGTTGGAGCATTTACAGTTTCCGGAGGCAAGTTGTTCCACTGATTAATTGTTCTCACTGTCAGGAAATTTCTCCTTAGTTCTAAGTTGCTTCTCTCCTTGATTAGTTTCCACCCAATGCTTCTTGTCCTGCCCTCAGGTGCTTTGGAGAATAGCTTGACTCCCTCTTCTCTGTAGCAGCCCCTGAGATATCAGAACACTGCTATCATGTCACCCCTAGTCCTTCTCTTCATCAAACTAGACATACCCAATTCCAGCAACCGTTCTTTATATGTTTTAGCCTCCAGTCCCTGGAGACTTGGAAATCTGGGGATTGAACCTTGGGCCTTCTGCTAACTCCATTGAGATGAAGGAGGGTATTTCCTTCATCCCTACAGATATTCAGTATAGTTGACAGATTATCTGGCCAAAACAGAGGAATACAGAATAAATGATTTATTTTATTATTCATATTTCTATGCCACCCACTCTCCGAGGATTCTGGGCGGCTTACACCAAAGACAGTATACTAAATAGCATATTGCCCCCAACAATCTGGATCCTCATTTTACCCACCTCGGAAGGATGGAAGGCTGAGTCAACCTTGAGCCGGTGAGATTTGATCCGCTGATCTGCTGAACTAGCAGTCAGCTGAAGTAGCTGCAGTACTGCACCTTAACCACTGCACCACCTCGGCTCCAAATGAGCTGGAAGGGACCTTGGAGATCTTACAGCATTCTGATCAAATGGCTGTCCAATCACTTCTTAAAAATCTCCAGTGATGGAGCACCCACAGCTATAAACTGTTCCACTGGTTGCTTGTTCTCATTGTCAGGAAATTTGTCCACATTTTGAGGAAGGATCTCTCTTTAATGAGTTTCCATCCATTGCTTCTTGTCCGTCCTCGGGTGCTTTGGAGAATAGATTGACTCCTTCTTCTCTGTGACAGCCCCTCAAATATTGGAACACTGCTATCATATCAACCCTAGTCCTTCTCTAGAGGAATCCTGTGCTTGTCTGTCTCACTAACCCTGCTACACTTAGCTGGCTGCCCTTAAGTGTGTTTTATTGTGTTTGACAGCAGTAGGTAACACTTAGCAATAGTACTTAGCTATAGACCTGTATACCGCTTTACAGTGCTTTACAGCCCTCTCTAAGCGGTTTACAAAGTCAGCCTATTGCCCCCAACAATTTGGTGTCCTCATTTTACCCACCTCGGAAGGATGGAAGCAGGGGTGAAATCTAAAATTTGTTACTACGGGTTCTGTGGGCGTGGCTTGATGGTGGCGGTGGGGGTAATGTGACTGGGTGGGCGTGGCCAACTTTTTTTTTTTTTTTTACTTTTCAAAGCATTTTTTCTACAACCTTAAGAGGTTGCAGAAAAAAAGGCTTTTAGAAGCCTCTGACGATCCCAGCTGAGCCGCGCTATTATCAGAGGCTTTTTTAAAAAAAACTTTTAAAAGCATTTTTTCGGCCAAAGAGGTTGTAGAAAAAATGCTTTTAAAAGTAAAAAAAAAAAAAACAGCCTCTGATAATCGCGCGGCTCAGCTGGGCATGGGGGGTGCGCAGGGATTTTTGCTACCGGTTCTCCGAACCACCCGCTGCCATCGCTACTGGATCCGAACCGGGAGCATTTCACCCCTGGATGGAAGGCTGAGTCAACCTTGAGCCTAGTGGGATTTGAATTGCCAAATTGCAGGCAGCCGGCAGTCAGCAGAAGTAGCCTGCAGTACTGCATTCTAACCACTGCGGCGCCACGATTCATGTGTATCCTTCCTGCTTCTTCACATAGGTCTACTCTGTCCAGATGCTGCAATGCGCCAGCTTTCCTCTTCACAACACAAAAAAACACACCCCTGGGAACAGACCTGAAATATGAAGTGGACACCAGCGGCATTTTCCATATCAACGTTGAAGTATTCCGAATGTTTCCTAAGGTGTGGTACCTTTGCTGACTTAAAAATAATTCTCCATGAGTACAGGTAGTCCTTGACTTACAACAGTTCACTTAGTGACCATTCGTAGTTACAATGGCACTGAGAAAAAAGGTTGCAGGATGCCAATGATCATGTGATTTACATTCAGATGCTGACTCACATTTAGGATGGTTGCAACGTCCTGGAGTCATGTGACTATTTTTCACGACCTTCTGACCAGCAAAGTCGATGGGGAAACCAGATTCATTTAACAACCGGGTTACTAATTTAACAACCGCAGTGATTCCCTGAACAAATGTGGCAAGAAAAGTCGTAAAATGGGGCAAAACTCACTTAACTAATTTAGAATAAAATAGAGTAGAGTAGAGTAGAGTAGAGTAGAGTAGAATAGAACAGAACAGAACAGAACAGAACAGAACAGAACAGAACAGAACAGAACAGAACAGAACAGAACAGAACAGAAAGTATGGAATGGAATGGAATGGAATGGAATGGAATAGAATAGAATAGAATAGAATAGAATAGAATAGAATAGAATAGAATAGAATAGAATAGAATAGAATAGAATAACAGATTTGGAAGGGACCTTGGAGGTCTTCTAGTCCAACCACCTGCTTCGGCAGGAAACCCTACACCACTTCAGACAAATGGTTATCCAACATCTTCTTAAAAACGTCCAGTGTTGGAGAATTCACAACTTCTGGAGGCAAGTTGTTCCACTGATTAATTGTTCTAACTGTCAGGAAATCCCTCCTTAGTTCTAGGTTGCTTCTCTCCTTGATTGGTTTCCACCCATTGCTTCTTGTCCTACCCTCAGGTGCTTTGGAGAAGAGCTTGACTCTCTCTTCTTCGTGGCAGCCCCTGAGATATTGGAACACTGCTACTGTGAGGTTTTAAAACATCCAAAATTTATACTCACTAATTCGACAGACTGATGTACAAACAAAGAAGGTTTATTGAATTGCATTTGCAAAGGCAGGCCTCCACGTCCCTTCCCAATTTGGATTGAGATCGTGAAGCGCACTTTTCAAGTTTCACACCATGCATTTATACATTTCCACACAATATACATCACGTCACACGCCTAAGATCCCTTACATTCTGTGTTTATGACAAAACGTGATTACCCCTGCCTTGTTACAACAGGATCTATCTTATCTTGCCTTTTATTGTTTGTCCGGAGCATGGACTTAGTTCCTTGAACATTCAGATCAAGCTGACACACAGTAATTAACTCTTTATCATTTGTGGTTTTTATTTGGCCTTGCTACTGAGGCTTGAAGTAAGAGTTATTGACTTAAAGTATTTTATAATTCTTCTGATAACATTTTATAAAAGAGTAGCTTTCCATCCATTCTCACACTATCATGTCTCACCTAGTCCTTCTTTTCATCAAACTAGACGTAGCCAGTTCCTGCAACTGGCTATGTCTGCAAAAGAGCCTTGGTAGTACAGTGGTTTAAGGCACCCTGTTATTAAGCTGGTTATTAAGACCAGCTGCCTGCAATTACTGCAGGTTCGAATCTCGCCAAGGCTCAAGGTTGAATCAGCCTTCCATCCTTTCTAAGGTAGGTAAATTGAGGACCCGGTTTGTGGGGGCAATAAGCTGACTTTGTATAAATATACAAAAGGATGAAGGCTATTGCTTAACGCATTGTAAGCTGCTCTGAGTCTCCGGAGAAGGGCGGCATATAAATCAAAATAAAAAAAAAAAAAACCCCGTTCTTCATATGTTTTAGCCTCCAGTCCCTAATCATCTTCGTTGCTCTTCTCTGCACTCTTTCTAGAGTCTCGACATCTTTTTTTTTACATCGTGGCGACTGAAATTTCTCACTTAGCAACATAAATGTTGGGCTCAATTGCGGTCGTAAGTTGAGGACTACCTGTAGCTCTGATCCCTGTGGTTGGATGCAAAGACATTAACCTGGATTTTGTAGCAGATATGAAAAGTGGGAAAAGATCTGAAATAAATAAGTGAATTACGTTGACTTTCTATTGCTGTGATTTCCTTCGTGGCTGCTCTGATGAGTCTGCCACCTGCCATCTCATTCCTGCATATCAAGAGATAGGCAGCATAATTTATATTTAGCACAGCACATCAGTGAGATATCCTATCCATGTGGAAAATGGCCAGTCAACATAATTTAAGTAAGGACATGGAATCTGTTTGTAGCTGAAGGGAGATTTGATCCACTAACTTATTGGTTGAGTTCGACTCTACATCACATGATAATGGAATTTATTCTGTTTTGGTGTCGTGTGACTCTAGTCTACTATGGTTTATTTAGCAAACGGGCCTGGTGGCTCAGCAGACTAAATGCATTGTGATTAACACCAGCTGTCTGCAATTACTGTAAGTTTGAATCTCACCAGGCTCAAGGTTGACTCAGCCTTCCATCCTTTCTAAGGTAGGTTAAATGAGGACCCAGTTTGTGGGGGCAATAAGCTGAGTTTGTATAAATATACAAAAATATGAAGGCATTGTAAGCCACTCTGAGTCTCCAGAGAAGAGCGGCATATAAATCAAGGAGCCCTTGGTAGTACAGTGGTCTAAAGCACCCTGTTATTAAGACCAGCTGCCTGCAATTACTGCAGGTTCGAATCTCGCCAGGCTCAAGGTTGATTCAGCTTTCCATCCTTTCTAAGGTAGGTAAATTGAGGACCCAGATGTGGGGGCAATAAGCTGACTTTGTATAAATATACAAAAAGGATGAAGGCTATTGCTTAGCATATTGTAAGCCGCCCTGAGTCTCCGGAGACGGGTGGCATATAAATCAAATAAAAAAAAAATTAAAACAAAACAAAACAAAACAAAAAATAGAGGATTGTTCAAACCAGGACTTGATTAATCCATCTGTTGTCTTCTGAAGAATGCCTTACCTTTGCTTTCCACTTCTTTCGTATTATTCATTTTGACGTTATTTAGAATTTTACTTTTCCCCAAAGTCTCTGTGAATTACATCAGGAATCTCCAAACTTGGCAATTTTAAGACTTGTGGACTTCAGCTCCCAGAATTCCCCAGCCAGCCATTCAGCCAGACTTCAACTCCCAGAATTCCTCAGCCAACTCAGAATTCCTCAATCATGGCTGGCTGAGGAATTCTGAGAGCTGAAGTCCCACAAGACTTAAAATTGCCAAGTCTGGAGACCCCTGTGTCAGCTTTGGAAGCCATATTAGGCCGGAAGCTTCCATGCTGCCACCTTCTCCTGTGTGGGAAAGTAGGAGGGGAGGATTTAGTAGAGGAGTTGTCTTTAGAGATAATAGCATTCTTCCTGTTGGTCAGGGCGATCCTGCATCTGTGTTGTGGCTCTGTTACCTGAGCCTGTGTCATCGGCAGGAGAGGACTCCGAGAGTGAAGGGGAGGAGTTGGCAAGGCCTCCCTCTCCAGGACCCTCCTCTCTGGCAATGCCTTCGGTGTCCGCCGAAGGGCAAGAGATCGGGCCGGGGCCAAGCACATCCACCCAGCCACAGGTGGACAGTGATGAGAGTAATGAGTCTTGGCTGGATCCACGCCAGCGTAGCAGAGATAAGCGTTCGCAACAGAAGAAAAGGTGTGCCCAAGATTAGGCTGAGTCACTGGACCACACCCCACAGGGTATAAAAGGGAGCGTGGTGGCCATTCAGACTCTGTGACAGACAAAGCTGAAAGCTTCCACGCCATTCTGCATTGCCGGACTTTTGCTATAGACTTTGCTGGATTATATTTGGACTTAAATTACTCTGTAATTATTGAACATTTTACTTTGATGCACCAGAAGCGGAGAGAAGTTATCTCTTCCCTTCGTGAGTAATAAACTCTTGGCAGGCAGCCACTAGGTTGTTGCCAAGTTCCGTTATCATAAGGAAAAGGATTTTGTCGGCTGGTTTGATTTTTAACTCTTGGACATCTGTTGGTGTGTGTGCGTGTGGGACGGGGACAGAACAATCTGGAGAAGGAGTGGTCGGAGTGATGTCTCGAGATGGGACGGATGTTGATTGGAGCATGTGATCGACTGAGGAGTGAGGGGATGGTTTTGGGGATTTTGATTTACTGAGGGAAAACCCGGACCTCTCAGATTCGGGTTTTCCCAGATGTGCTAGTTTACCTATTCTAGTAAATAGAATTTTGAAAAATGCTTGCTTCAGAGTCTTTATTTGGAAGTGGGGTTTTTTCTGGAACACTGACACCCTGAGTTAGATAACTCCAATCATTTTCTGGTATCTAACATTCAGTTCTCAGACTTTCTCTGCCATTTGGCTTTTAGGTTCTAGATTTCTTCCACCTGGGGCAGGGGTCAGCAACCTGCGGCTCCGGAGCCGCATGCGGCTCTTTGGGCCCTCTGCTGTGGCTCTCTGTCAGGTGATCCCACCACTGGCTGGCCCCACCTCTCGCCCTCCCCTCCCAGTCACTCCTCACCTGGCCTGAGAAGGTAAGGGCGACGATCAGGGGTGGGTTCTAAATTTTTTTACTACCGGTTCTGTGGACGTGGCTTATTTTGTGGGTGTGGCTTGGAGGTCATGTGACTAGGTGGGCGTGGCTAGCTGGTCAGAGTCATTTCTGGAAGGTCCTCGCACTTACGACCAGTCCTCGCACTTACGACCCGACTCATTTGTTTGCTTTTAACACTGATCAGCTGTAGGGCGGCCCTTTGAAGCCCCGGGGCAAGAGTTTAAACAGTTTTTTTCCCTCTAGTCATCCCTCTAGTCATCAGGAGGCAGCAATAGATTGGGGATGGGGCCAAATAAAAGGTAAGAATAACGTGGGGGGGTGGGAGGGCGGGAGGGGAGAACCAGTTCGGTGACGTCATATCGTCACCGCTACCGGCTCGGCCGAACCGGGAGCAACCGACCACTGGCGACGGTGGGGGATGGGGAAGCGGCCAGGGCAGAGACAGGGAAATACAGAGAGAGGGGGAGAGAAAGAGACATAGAGAGATACAGAGAGAGAGGGAGAGAGGGGAGAGAGAGAGATGTCAAAAGGATTTTGTGGTTCCCGGTGTTTTTTAACAACTGGTTCTCTGCCCTAATGCTCGACTGGGTAGGCGAGGCTAGGAGGGGTCATGTGACTGGTGGAAGTGAGTGACATTGAGTTGGCCACGCCCACCCAGGTTTTGTGGCTCCCGGTGTTTTCTTTTCTGTGGGAAATGGATCCAAATTGGCTCTTTAAGTATTTAAGGTTGCAGACTCCTGACCTGGGGAAAGCATTTATTGCAGTTGACTTTGTGGCAGAAGAGTGACTAATATCTTTGCCTCCATGGTTAATTGGGTGGGTAGAGAGGCCAGTATATTTTTCCAGCTCTTGGAGAGCAGGAGATCACCCAGAAATGTAGCACATATTAAATCTCCCACCTGTTAGCTGCCTGTAATCAATCTACTATGCTAACCTCACAGTCCTAATGGATTGTTTACGGTATTTTCTTTTACGAGTACTGTGCCATGCGTGCTTTAATTATGTTTTAAAATCACATTTGTTTCTATGTTGCAAACCCATGAACTACAGATAGTCCTCTACCTACGACCAAAATATTTGTTGCTAAGCAAAATAGCTGTTGAGCGAGTCTTGCTCCGTTTTACAACCTGTCTGGCCACAGTTGTTAAATGAACCACTGCAATTGTTAGTAATACAATTGTTAAATAAATCCGGCTTTCCCATTGACTTTTGCTCGTCAGAAGGTCACAAGAGTGGATTACACAACCCCGGGACACAGCAACTGTCATAAATATGAGCCAGTTGTCTAGATTTTGATCGTGTGACCATGGGGATGCTGCAAAGGTCATAAATGTGAAAAACAGTCATAAGTCACTTTTTTCAGTGCCATTGTAATTTTGAATAGTCACTAAATGAAGACTTGTGAGGACTATATGCATAAAGGTAAAGGTAAAGGTTCCCCTCGCACATGTGTGTTAGTTGTTCCCGACTCTAGGGGGCGGTGCTCATCTCTGTTTCAAAGCCAAAGAGCCAGCACTGTTTGAAGACGTCTCCATGGTCATGTGTCCGGCATGATTAAATGCTAAAAAAGAGCCCGGATAGCTCTGCAGACAAAGGCAGTATAATTTAACACCAGCTGTCTGCAATTAAAGTAAGTTCGAATTTTGCCAGGGGTTGACTCAGCCTTCCATCCTTTCTAAGGTAGGTAAATTGAGGACCCAGTTTGTGGGGGCAATAAGCTGACTTTATATAAAATATACAAATATACTTGAGAGCGTACATATATGCTCTCATCCAGTTTTAAACCTTCAAAGATCTGGGTCATATCCCTGGCAGATATTCTGTATTAACGAAGGACCGGATTTTTCTACTTAACCGGTCCTTGTGGTAGAGGCAGTGGTGGGTTCCTCCCAGTTCGGCCCGGTTCGGCCGAGCTGGTAGCGGTGACAATATGATGTCACTGAACTGGTTCTCTTTGTTTGGGAACTGGGCCCTCCCCCCCGTTATTATTACCTTTCATTTGGCCCCGCCCCCAATCTATTTGCTGCCTCCCGAGTCCCAGCTGATCGGCTAGAAGGAAAAAAACTGTTTAAACTCTTGCCGCAGGGCTTCAAAGGGCCGCCCTACAGCTGATCAATGTTAAAAGGCAGTGTGGTGGTAGACCGGTGCTTCCAAAAACAAATGAGTAGACCAGTGCCTCCAAAAACAAATGGGTAGACCGAAACGCTCCAAGAACAAATGGGTAGACTGGTACAGCTGGGCAAGCAGTTAAAAGCCTGGTAGACCAGTACCTCTGCTAAATCCTAAAGAATTGTCACATGACCATCAAACCACACCCACAAAATAAGCCACGCCCACAGAACCGGTAGTAAAAAAATTTAGAACCCATCCTGGGTAAAGGGACACACAGGTCACCTTGGACAAGGTTGCAGAGATTGTCAGCTCAGCCTAGGAAAGCAAGGCAGGATGAGAAAGGAACGTACAGTGTCCATCTTGATTTTCTTTGATGTAAGAAGAAGGAAGGGAAAATACTATCAGGCTTTCAAAATTTTGTTATTACATTTTTTTTTTTTAATTTGTTTACTGGTTAAGTCCAGTTGCCTCTTGAAAAAGCACTTTTGGGATAAATGTGTATGACTTTTCCAAGAATTGTTCCTATTTTTTGGCTTCTTCCGCTTTGCTCCAGGAGATGCCCTATTCTCGTTCCCAGTTTAAGAAATGTGCAGTGGTTGGCAACGGAGGAATTTTGAAGAACAGCGGATGTGGCCAGGAGATTGACACTGCCGATTTTGTGTTACGGTAATTGTCCAACATGATCTCCTTGGAATTTTTATATAAAGTGATTGTGTTGCTATTGCTGCTAATGAAGGTATAGGCAACTTTTTAGTTTTTTTTTCACACCTCATTTACTAAGCTCTTACACGAGGGGTGTCAAACTCGCGGCCCACAGGCTGGATGCGTCACATGTTGGCCACGCCCACACCCAATTTAGCGAAGGGGGGAAAAGTCACAATATGTCACGTGACGATGCTGTGACGACTCGAGTTTGACACCCCTGTCTTACACAGTCAGAAACAACTGGAAATGAATTCATAAGGACTAGGGTTCTTTAACTAGGGCAATCAAAACATTTTCAAAAGTGAGATATGATAAGACAATGGTGTGAATTTACATGCTTATGTCTTTAACAATAAATAAATAAAATAAATAAAGAGCCTTGATAGTACAGTGGTCTACGCACCCTGTTATTAACACAGCTGCCTGCAATTTACTGCTGGTTCGAATCTCTCCAAGGCTCAAGGTTGACTCAGCCTTCCATCCTTTCTAAGGTAGGTAAATTGAGGACCCAGTTTGTGGGGGCAATAAGCTGACTTTGTATAAAATATACAAAAGTATGAAGGCTATTGCTTAACACATTGTAAGCCGCCCTGAGTCTCCGGAGAAGGGCGGCATATAAATCATTTTTTTTAAATAAATAAACAAACAAACAAACAAACAAACAAACAAATAAATAAATAAATAAATAAACTGTTTAAATAGTGGAAAATAGTGGAAAACTTTATACCTGCAAACTGATTAATTCTTTAAAGGGAAAAGAGCAGAGAAATAACAGTAAATAGCAACAGTAGAAGATCTCAATCAACCACAACCATTTAAAAAAAAAAAACGCCACAAATTTTAATGTTTATTGCTTTTCTGCTTTCCTGCCTTTAGCCTCTTGATAAAGAATTTATAATTGAAAAAAACCCAAAAATAAATAAAGTGTATACAACGACTTTCAATTATTTTTTAGAAAAAATATCATTAGCTTTATCTCTCAAAAAGAGCCCCAAATTCTTCCAAGATTGTTAATGTCGAGTTTTAAGACACAATTAAAGAAAAAAGAACAGGAAATCATTTCTGATTCTGCTGACTTAGGATAAAATTGATTCTTGGATCCATTTCAGCTCATTTTTGCTGGTGATGTTTGAAGCTATGGCCTGAAGGCAAAAGGATCTTTTTTCTTATTTTCTCCAAAACACAGCCAAGTTACACAAGAGGGACATTAGTTGTTTAGTTGCATTGACCTGATGGTTGACTATTGGCACAGCATTATGGAGCCATGAATCACATCAGGGTTGAAAAGCTGGGACAGAATGTTAACTTAATCCCCCTTCTCTCCGTTTCCCTCTCCTATCAAATCCATTTATTTTGTATTCATTGAGTTTGTTCTATTGAGATCAATGGCATATAAACAAGAACAAGAAGCAATGGGTGGAAACTAATCCAGGAGAGGAGCAACTTAGAACTAAGGGAGAAATTTCCTGACTGTGAGAACAATTAACCAGCGGAACTACTTGCCTCCAGAAGTTGTGAATGCTCCAACACTGGAAATTTTTAAGAAGATGTTGGATAACCATTTGTCTGAAGTGGTGTAGGGTTTCCTGCCTAAGCAGGGGGTTGGACTAGAAGACCTCCAAGGTCCCTTCCCAACTCTGTTATTCTATTTCTTTTTGTAAGAGTGGACAAGCGAACAAAAGTTCAGGGAATCCCCACATGGTAAAATAATTTGGGAGATTATATTTGAATTGATGAATTTACTGACTTGGTCAATACTGACCCTCTGATCATTTTATGCATTGAACCATACTTTGTAGTTTGTACAGTATGTTTGTTTGTTTTGTTTTGTTTTGTTTTGTTTTATTAAATTTATATACCGCCCTACTCCCGAAGGACTCAGGGCGGTGAACAGGCACAAAATAAAATACATAAATACAAAAGTTAGAAACATAATTAAAACCAAATTAAATAATTTAGCCCAAGACAATTAAAAATCCCAATAGTTTAAAACAAATTAAAATTTCAGTTTAAAAATTTTAAAGAAAGGGGAGAAAATTAGGCCAGGCCGGCTTGCTGGAATAGGAGGGTCTTAAGAGCACGGCGGAAAGTGCGCAGATCCAGGATCCTCCGTATCTCCGGGGAGAGTTCGTTCCAGATAGTGGGTGCCCCCACAGAGAAGGCCCTCCCCCTGGGGACTGCCAGTCGACACTGCTTGGCTGACGGCACCTGGAGGAGCCCCTCTCTATGAGAGCGTACCGGCCGGTGGGAGGCTGTTTGTGGTAGTAGGCGGTCCCGTAAATAACCAGGTCCTAAGCCATGGAGCGCTCTAAAGGTGGTAACCAAAACCTTGAAGCGCACCCGGAAGACCACCGGGAGCCAGTGCAGCTCACGCAGGAGAGGTGTCACATGGGAGCGCCATGTTTCTCCCATAACCACCCGCGCGGCCGCACTCTGCTCCAGTTGGAGCCTCCGGGTGCTCCTCAAGGGGAGCCCCATGTAGAGAGCATTACAATAGTCCAGGCGGGAGGTGACGAGGGCATGAGTGACTGTGCATAAGGAGTCCCGATCCAGAAAGGGACGCAACTGGCGAATCAAGCGAACCTGATGAAAAATCCTCCCGGTCACGGCCGTCAAGTGCTCTTCTAAAGACAGCCGTGAATCCAGGAGGACACCCAAATTGCGAGCCCTCTCCATGGGGGCCAGCGATTCGCCCCCAATAGTCAGCGATGGCGTCAACTGACTATATCGGGACGTCGGAAACCACAGCCCCTCGGTCTTGGATGGGTTGAGCCTGAGCCTGTTCCTCCCCATCCAGATCCGCACGGCCTCCAGACACCGGGACATCACTTCAAGGGCATCGTTGGGGTGGCCCGGGGTGGAGATGTACAGCTGGGTGTCATCAGCGTTCGGTGGTTTCACCCCGAAACCACCGATGATCTCACCCAACAGCTTTACATATGTGTTCCATATATAACAGAATAATAGAATTGAAAGCGACCTTGGCGTCTTCTACTCTAGTCACCAGCTCAAGCAGGACACCCTATACAATTTCAGAAAAATGGTTGTCCAATCTCTTCCTAAAAAACTCCAGTGATGGAGCACCCACAACTTCTGGAGGCAAGCTGTTCCACTGATTGATTGTTCTCACTGGCAGGATATTTCTCCTTAGCGATTGGTTGGTTTCCTCCTTGATTAGTTTCCATCCATTGCTTCTTGTCCTGTCCTCAGGTGCTTTGGAAAATAGAATAGAATAGAATAGAATTTTTTATTGGCCAAGTGTGATTGGACACACAAGGAATTTGTCTTTGGTTTCGCTTAGGGACAGAAATTGTGGGCTCAGTTGTGGTCGTAAATCAAGGACCACTTGCATGAGTTATAAGATTTTCAAATTTAGTCAAACATCTCAATATTACCTCTTGTTTTTGTAATAGCTGTGCTGCTTATTTGAAGACATGGAAACCAATTAAATATAGAACAGAACAGAACAGAATAGAATTCCTTATTTGCAAAGTGTGATTGGACATGCAAGGAATTTGTCTTTGATGCATATGCTCTCAGTGTACACAAAAGAAAATATAAGTTTGTCAAGAATCATAAGGTACAACACTTAATGATGGTCATAGGGTACAAATAAGCAATGAAATCATATTAGGAAACAGTCAGTATAGATCGTACGGATACAAGCAACAAGGTTACAATCATACAGTCATAAGTGGGAGGAGATGGGTGATGGGAATGATGAGAAGATTAATAGTAGTGCAGACTTAGTGAATAGTTTGACAGTGTTGAGGGAATTATTTGTTTAGCAGAGTGATGGCATTCGGGAAAAAACTGTTCTTGTGTCTAGTTATTCTGGTGTGCAGTACTCTATAACGTCGTTTTGAGGGAAGGAGTTGAAACAGTTTATGTCCAGGATGCGAGGGGTCTGTAAATATTTTCACAGCCCTCTTTTTGACTGGGGCAGTATACAGGTCCTTCATGGAAGGCAGGTTGGTAGCCATTGTTTTTTCTGCAGTTCTTATTATCTGTGTCTGCCTTGTTGGGTTGCAGAACCAAACCAGACAGTTATAGAGGTACAGATGACAGACTCAAAAAAAAAAAAAATAGCTTGGCTCCCTCTTCTTTGTGGCAGCCCCTGAGATATTGGAAGACTGCTATCATGTCTCCCCTAGTCCTTCTTTTCATTAAACTAGACATAACCAATTCCTGCAACCGTTCTTCATATGTTTTAACCTCCAGTCCCCTCATCATCTTTGTTGCTCTTCTCTGTACTCTTTCTAGAGCAGTGATGGCTAACCTTTTTGGCACCGAGTGCCAAAACTGGAGCATGCATGCGCCGGAGCGCTGGATCCTGGAAGAGACCAGGTGGCCGGCGTGCATGCACGCGACAGCCAGCTGCTCTTCCGGGTTCCGTTTCGCGCATGATGCCACGAGACAATTCTTTGCAACCGTGACTCTCAACCAGCTAAAAAACTGCCAAAAGTAACCCCCTAAAAGCCCCAGATTTTATTAGATTTTCGACATATATATCATAGAGAATCCTGTCAACCCTTCCATGTTAGTGGCGTATGCAAGCCTGCACAGGTTCTACTGGTGTGTGAAGACTACATTTACTTATATCATGCCTTTATTATTTCAAAAAATGGCTCAAGATGGCAAACATATCCAACACACCTCCCTCCTTGTATTTTCCCAATGGCAACAACCCTGTAAGGTAGGTTGAGTTGAGAGAAAATGATTGGCCCAAGATCACTCAGCTGGCTTTCAAGACTAAAGTGGGAGTAGAACTCACCACCTCCTGGTGATGGGCCCAAAGTCACCCAGCCTGCTTTTATGGCTAAGGCAGGACTTGAACTCAGAGCCCCTTGCTTTCTAGCCTGTTTACTTGACTACTAGACCAAACTGGCAAAAATGTCTTCTTCATCATAAAATAAAGAAGAAAATTATGTTCTACATGGAGACGAATGACAGAGAAGGATCTCCTAATTATATCTTGTACTTTGGTTTCTGCAAATCTTCCTTTGCCTTGATTACAAATTCAGCTTCCAGCTGTTTTTTTTGGAGGCTGGGAAAAAAGCCTCAAAATGGGTTAGAAATTCAATCCATGCGGTTGAAAAGGACGAGATAAGGAAATTATAATTATAAAAGATGGGAAAAATACAATCTCAAAGCCTTGCACGATCATTTTATCCGAAATCGCCAATTTCCCAGGGCAATGTCAGTAATTGGAGATATTTAACAATCTAAGGAAAACAGATACTGCATACTGTAGATTTGGAGTTTAATTGGGATTTATTTAGATATTTTGAGGAGGACCCTTGTAGTAGCAGCTTAGATTCCATGTGGATCTCGCTTACAGGCTAAAAGCTAAAAGTGCTCCCAATTAGGCATTCCTTATATAACTGTATCTCATTCAGGGTTTGGAAAAAGCCCTCCGACTGCCAGCTCTTTTCTATTGCTCTTTCTCCTTCTTTCTTTATTAGGAAAAAAGAAGGAAAAAAAATTAAAGAAAGAAATATGGCACTGCCCTGTAGGATCAAATGAATGTATTAGTGTAGGACAGGTGTGTCAAACTCAAGATGTGGTCAGATCTGGCTCGCGCAGCCGTCCTGGAAATTGTAAGGGGCCGGCCTGCATCACTTCGGCCTGGCCCACGCTATTCCAGGGTACACACGTGTGCACAGAATACAGCCCAGATGGCAGGGGTGGGGCCTGAGCTCACATGCACCTGCCGACTCCTCCCTGCCCGCCACCGGCCCACGGAGGACAGATGATCCGGCCCATGGAAAAATCGAGTTTGACATCCCTGGGGTAGGAGGAGTAGCACAACCTGTGGGAGGAGTCAAAAGAGGGACCAGCCTAGAATCCCTACATAGCCACAAGCGGACTAAGTCCAATTCCCTTTGAATTCCATAGACACTTACGGAAGATTAAAATCTTGAACATCTGGCTATTCCAGGCCTGAGGATGGGATTTTTTTTGTTGAATTCCCATTGGTTGTTTTTTTGATGTGCTTCTTACGTCTTTTGTCTTTTCCCAGTATGATTTGATTGCTTATTATACTGTATGACTGTCACTGGGTGTTGTGCCTTGTGATTCTTGACGAGTGTATCTTGTCTTTTTATGTACACTGAGAGCATATGCACAAAAGACAAATTCCTTGTGTGTCCAATCACACTTGGCCAAAAAAGAATTCTGTTCTATTCTATTCTATTTTTTCTGGATATTTCTCTTTTTTTTCCTTTTCTTTCTATTTTATTGTTCCGTACAGTTTAAAATAAGGGACACGGTGGCTCAGTGGTTGAGACACTGAGCTTGTCGATCGAAAGGTCGGCAGTTCAGCGGTTCGAATCCCTAATGCCGCGTAACGAGGTGAGCTCCCGTTACTTGTCCCAGCTTCTGCCAACCTAGCAGTTCGAAAGCACATAAAAAATGCAAGTTGTTCTGCCCCAGCTACGGACCCCCAAAGAACGCAGCACACACAAACTCTATACAAAGCTTATTTTACTCAAATAACTTAGTCTTTATCAACCAAAGGCTGTTAATGAACTGTCTTAACAGCCTACCAGAATTCTAAGATAAGGTAATCACAGTCTTACTAGAGTTGGCAGAAAGCCCAGAAGCAATTTTGCAGAGAATCCAGATGCGAAGGAGATTGTACTAAAGTTGTTCCCTACAGCTTGCTGCAAGTGGCGTTCCTCCTTAAATAGGCTAAGGGAGTGGCCAGTTAGCCCCAAGCCTTACTCTCGAGGAGACCTCCTCCTGAGGAGCCACTCCTGCCTTTTGGCCTCTCTGTATGCCCGTGCATTGAGAAGAGGCTCCTCCTCTTCTTCCTCTTCACTTAAAGGAACTTCTGGAGGTTCTGAAGGCCCTGGCTGAATCCCCGCCTCTGGCACCACATCTTCTCCAACTGTCCGACTCAAGTGCCAGCTGCACGGGCTGCTGGCGCAGCACCACAGCAGCCTCCTCGTTGTCGGAATCAGCTACAATCCGCACAGGCCGCTGACGGGCCACAACACAAGTGGAAAAATAGGGACCACCTTTGGTGGGAAGGTAAAAGCGTTCCGTGCGCCTTTGGCGTTGAGTCATGCCGGCCACATGACCACGGAGACGTCTTCGGACAGCGCTGGCTCTTCGGCTTGGAAACGGAGATGAGCACCGTCCCCTAGAGTCGGTAACGACTAGCACACATGTGCGAGGGGAACCTTTCCCTTTTTACAGTTTAAAATATAAGCTGCCCAGAACTGTCTGTGGTTGGGCAACTTCCGAATTCAAATCAATCAATAAATCCCTTCCTCTAAATCCAAAGGCCTCGGAGTAGGTAGAGCTCAATTGGCAGTTTTAGGCACAGTGTAAAATGGTGTTTGTTTTGGACAGGGAGGAGGGGGTTACAGCTAAAAAAAATAATCCCTAAGATCTTTCCCCGCGCTCCTTTTTCTCCAATAGATGCAATTTGCCACCCATATCGAGGAAATACGTTGCAGATGTTGGGGCAAAGACTAACGTCGTGACGGTCAACCCCAGCATAATTACGGAAAGGTCAGTCGTTTTCCAGCCTCCTTTCCCTCTCCCGAGCCTCTGTGAAATTCGCAGGCATGAGAAAGAAGGAAGCCACGTCTTCTTCTTTGCCCTAGCTGCAATTGACTGTGTAATTTCATAGCAACTGGAAATGAGAGTCATTTGAGCCTCCTTGTCATCAGGGGAAATGCGTGCAATTGAAAGGATGCATATGGACTACAGCCCACGCATGTTCTCTTCTCTTCTGTAGTCTCGCTTTCCCTTCCTTTTCTTTCCTTCCTCTCTCATTCCTTCCCTCCCTTCTTACTTTTGCTTCTTTTCTTTAGCTTCCTTTCCTTGGCTGTCCTTCCTTCCTTCCTTCCTTCCTTCCTTCCTTCCTTCCCTCCTTCCTTCCTCCCTCCCCCTCTTTCTTTTATCTTCCTTCCTATTGTCCTCCCTCCCTCCCTCCTTCCTTCCTCCCTCCCTCCCTCCCTCTTTCTTTTGTCCTTCCTTCCTTCCTTCCTTCCTTCCTTCCTGCCTGCCTGCCTGCCTGCCTTCCCTCCTTCCTTCCTGCCTGCCTTCCTTCCTTCCTTCCTTCCTTCCTTCCTTCCTTCCTTCCTCCCTCCCTCCCTCCCTCCCTCCCTCCCTCCCTCCCCCTCTTTCTTTTATCTTCCTTCCTATTGTCCTCCCTCCCTCCTTCCTTCCTGCCTTCCTCCCTCCCTCCCTCTTTCCTTCCTTCTTTCCTTCCTTCCTCCCTCCCTCCTTCCTGCCTCCCTCTTTCTTTTGTCCTGCCTTCCTTCCTTCCTCCCTCCCTCCCTCCTCCTTCCTGCCTTCCTCCCTCCCTCCTCTTCTTCCTTCTTTCCTTCCTTCCTCCCTCCCTCCTTCCTCCCTGCCTCCCTCTTTCTTTTGTCCTGCCTTCCTTCCTTCCTCCCTCCCTCCCTCCTTCCTTCCTGCCTTCCTCCCTCCCTCTCTCCCTCCCTCCCTCTTTCTTCCTTCTTTCCTTCCTTCCTCCCTCCCTCCTTCCCTCCCTCCCTCCCTCCCTTCCTTAAGATGGCTCCCTTTGTTCTGTTTTGCATCCTCCTCTATATTTTGAACTATTTGGAGAACAGTAAGGAGATTCACTTAGCATTCATTCCTGATTTTATAGTGTCTGGAACTGAAACTTGACTCAGAAGCCAAACCTTCAACCTCCATAGGGCTCAGAGGGTGCCAGAGTTGGACCTTAACGGGGGTGGGGGGGAAAGACCCTGCCATTTGACAAAAACCACAATTTCTGATTTTTCCTTCCTTTTCCACACCTTTGAGGCAGTTGACATTTAAACGAGGCGTTCCTCTCTCACAGATCCCAAGAAGCCCACCATAAAACTCTTCAACTGTAACACGCTTTTTATCAGAGGAGAATTTAAAGGTCGTATTAGATCGCTCAGTTTTACTCTTTGTTTACTCTTCTTGTGCTCCCCTCCCCGGGCAAATTACACCAGGTTCCAGAGGCTGGAGAAATGGAGAAGGCCTTTCTACCGTGTCCTGAAAGCCTATGAAAACGCCTCAGTGTTACTTCCCGCCTTCTACAACACCCACAACACCGACGTCTCCCTCAGGGTCAGGTACGCCCTGGATGACTTTGAATCCAAGAAGGCTGTTTACTTTTTCCACCCCAGATATCTCACTAACGTTTCACGCTACTGGCTGACTCAAGGAGTCCGGGCGAAGCGTATCACCACGGGGCTGATTCTAGTGACGGCCGCCTTGGAGCTGTGTGAAGAGGTGCACCTTTTCGGATTTTGGGGCTTCCCCATGAACCCCTCAGGGATATTTATAACTCATCATTACTACGACAACGTCAAACCTCGGCCCGGATTCCATGCAATGCCTTCAGAGATGTTCAACTTCCTCCGTCTGCACAGCAGAGGGGTTTTAAGAGTCCACACCGACGCCTGCAGCTACTCCTGACGCAGTTCAACGGACGGATTGGATTTTTGGATTTTTTTTTTAAAAAAGAGCAAAATGTAGGTGTTTTGGGGTCCTTTGCCACATTCTGAAGCAGAAAACTCGTCGGCGGGCAGGATAAAGATGTCGGTTGGGCCAGGCGTTCCGTGCAAACGAATTTTAACGCTTCGAGGAAATTATGCAATAATATTTGAGGTTCTTATTTTCTCGTCAGGTTCTTGCTTTCCTTCAGAGTGGGTGAACCCCCCACCCAACCCTCTTTTTTCCCCCTCATCAGCCATGTTGGGCTGTTGTCCTTTGGGCGAAGCACACCTTAGTGTGGCAGGAATGTGCACCCTGCCTTGGGGCCTCCAGCAAGTAAAGCACATTAGCTATGAAGATTTTACAGTAGAAATAGAGCACATCGTTTTAGGGATTTCAGTATTTCATTTCTAGGGGGGCACCGAACTTGACAAACAGGAAATTCAGATGGGTTGTTTTGCAAAGCAGCTGTGAATTAGGACACGATTCGTGAGAGGCTTCAATGTAAGAAGCATGGTGTATTCCCTTAGCTCTGTCATCTCTTTTGGGGTCATGGAGTACATCATTCTGTCCTTCCTTCCTTCCTTCCTTCCTTCCTTCCTTCCTTCCTTCCTTCCTTCCTTCCCTCCCTCCCTCCCTCCCTCCCTATCTTTCCTTCCTCCTTTCCTTTCCTTTCCTTCCCTTTTCTTCCTCCCTCCCTCCCACTTCCTCTCTCCTTCCCTTCCTCCCTCCCTCACTATCCTCCCTCCCTTCCTTTCCTTCCCTTCCCACCCCCCCATCCTCCCTCCCTCCCTCCTTTTCTTTCCTTTCCTTTCCTCCCTCCCTCCACACTTCCTCTCTCCCTCCCTTTCCTCCCTCCCTTTCCTCCCTCCCTTTCCTCCCTCCCTTTCCTTTCCTTTCCTTTCCTTTCCTTTCCTTTCCTTTCCTTTCCTTTCCTTTCCTTTCCTTTCCTTTCCTCTCCTCTCCTCTCCTCTCCTCTCCTCTCCTCTCCTCATTCCCTTCCCTTCCCTTCCCTTCCCACCCTCCCTATCCTCCCTCCCTCCCTCCTTTCCTTTCCTTTCCTTTCCTCCCTCCCTCCTTCCACACTTCCTCTCTCCTTCCCTTCCTCCCTCCCTTTCCTTCCTTCCTTCCTTCCATCCTAGTGAGCCCACAGATAACACTGCTGTGAAGAAGATGACCAGCGGTATTTGAAAGGATACACATCTGTTTCCCTTCCTCCCATTGACTATCTTCTCAAACTGCCACATTGCTCTTAGCCATGTTCAGCTTACTTCCTGAATGAGTCTTTGGGGTGAATAGCCCCAAATTCCTCCTCATCGCAGTATGAAATGTTCTACTAACACAGAACCATGGGCTTCCTGTCGATGGAAGTTTTCTGAAGCCAAAGAGGAACTATTAAAGTATGTGAAGAAACTGTGAGATGGAAACACACCCTTTAGAGGAGAAGATGGATCAAAGCTGGCCTGATCAGTAAGGAGGGTATAAATACAGCTGAGAGAATACTTCAACTCCCATGCTGGCTGGGGAATTCTGGGAGTTGAAGTCCACGAGTCTTAAAGGGCCAAGTTTAGATACCCCTGCTTTAGGGCATTGCATGGATGCAACGATTAAGAGGTGAAATGGAGGGGAGGAGATGTCCCACTGGACAATTATCCTGCCTGATCAGAGCAAAAGTTTACCTGGTCCATAGTTTCTATCTCCGAGAATCCTGCACAATGTCCACAGAAGACATAATGAAGTTGGGGAAGCCATCATTCTGAGTGTTTTATGCAAGAGGGAAAGAGTGGTAGGTGTACGAGAAAGACAGGCAGACCCTGGAAAGTGGAGTCAAGAGAGGAATCAGCTTGGCATTCTTATATTCTCACAAGCAGGCTAAATCCAACCCATCTTGAATTCTTTTAACTCTTATCTAGCACCAATTTAGTGCTGGCTGTTGGTTGACGACAGTGATGGGTTCCTCCCGGTTCGGTCCGGTTCGGCTGAGCCGGTAGCGGTGACGATATGATGTCACCGAACCGGTTCTCCCCCCCCTCCCCCCCACCCACGTTATTCTTACCTTTTATTTGGTCCCACCCCCAATCTATTGCTGCCTCCTGAGTCCCAGCTGATGGCTAGAGGGAAAAAAACTGTTTAAATTCTTGCCGCGGGGCTTCAAAGGACCGCCCTACAGCTGATCAGTGTTAAAAGAAAACAGATGAGTCAGGTTGTAAGTGCGAGGACTGGTCATAAGTGCGAGGACCTTCCAGAAATGACTCTGACCAGCTAGCCATGCCCACCTAGTCACATGACCTCCAAGCCACACCCACAAAATAAGCCACGCCCACAGAACCGGTAGTAAAAAAAATTTAGAACCCATCCCTGGTTGACGAGATTCTTGTGTATAGGCACGAGCAAGAAATCAGCTCAACAGGAATGCGTGGTCCTGATTCTTCACGCCTGTCATTAGGTAATTCTTTCCGTACGTAGCGAACTAATAAAGGGGCAGGCAGGAGATTTGAATTCACTTGGGTTTGAGGTTGAGAGAAATATAGACCTGGAACAGGTCATAAATCTGGAAAGTCCCACCTGCCCGGTTAACCGTCAGCACTAAATTGGCGCTAGGTAAGAGTTAATGGCATTCAAGACGGGTTGGATTTGGACCGCTAGTGGGAATATAAGGATTCCAGGCTAATTCCTCTCTTGACTCCACCTTCAGACTCTTCTCCTACCGCTCTTTCCCTCTTGCCCGAAACATTCAGAATGATGGTTTCCCCCAGCTTCATTACGTCGTCTCTGAACGTCGTGCAAGATCCTCAGGTATCAAAACTATGGACCATGTAAACTTTTGCTCTAATCCAGCAGGATAGTTGTCCAGAGGGACACCTCTCTCTCCCCCCCCCCATTTTGACCTTCCAGAGGACAATGGGAGGTTGAAAAACATTAAAGCACAGCATGTGTTATGATTTAGCCCAGTTTAATCAGAGCACAAGCATGCAAATGCGAGTAGATTAATAGGTACCACTTCGGTGGGAAGGTACCAGCGTTCTCTGTGCCTTCGGCATATAGCCATGTTGGCCACATGACCACAGAAGTGTCTTCGGACAACGTTGGCTCCCTCGGCCAAGATGAGCAACACGCTCTAGAGTTGGATATGACTGGACAGGGAAATCTTTACCTTTTAATCTGTGTACAGGGCAGTCCCAAGATAACAAAGGCAGAAGATGACAATTCTTTCGGTGCAGGTGTATTTTTTTTTAGACCCAGCATGCACAAAATCTGCAGTGATGGGACAACAGGATTATAATCAGAGTGTGAAGTATTCAGCCGGTTCAGACCGGTTTGGGCAAACCTGTAGCGGTGACTGCATCCACCCGCCCATACGTAATGCCGTCCTATTTAGCCACGTTTTTGAGGCCGGGCGCATGCATGGAAGGGGCACGTGCGAGCAAAGCACATGCATGGAAAGCCGGGTGCATGGCGGAAATAGCGCGCGGAGCGAACTGGTGGTAAGAATATGTGAAACCTACCGCTGATTATAATGTCATGGAAAGTCGGAGAGGCAAATATTAGGAACAGGAGGTGGCTGATCTGGCTAATGGCATCTTTAATTTCTTTTTGAAATGGATGGGAATTACCATATTTTTCAGAGTATAAGACGCACCTTTCCCCCCCAAAAAGGGGGTGAAAATTTAGGTGCGTCTTATACACCAAATGTAGCCCCGCCCACCCATTGGCCCCTACCCTTTGGCCCCTGCTTCCCAGCAATTTACCTCCTTGCAGCAAGCAGCAAGAAGAAACAGCTCCTTTCAGCTTCAACACAGCCTAATTAGCACACATTGATTGGATCGGCCTCCCGACTCTCAGCTGTTTTGCTCTCAGCTGTTTTGCGCAGGGCTGCAAGGAGGTAAATTGCTGGAGCAGATTTTTTTTCCCCTTGTGCTAATCAAGCTATGCTGAAAACGAAAATGAAAGTAAAGCAGGCCGTTTGCTGTTTGCTGCAAGGAGGCAAAATTGCTCAGAGGCAGAGGCAGCTTTCTTTTTCTTCTTTTTCCTCACCAAAAAAGGTAGGTGCGTCTTATACTCCGAAAAATACGGTACATGCTGAATTTTCCATGAGTTGCAGTTGGATTCTAGCCATGTACATCTCAGGGACCTAAAGGTTCGCAAACTCACCTTGCTTCAAGTGGGAATAGCCATTACACGAAAAAGGAAGTGTTTATTTCATGATTGTAAAAAGCCATTTCACCTAATTAAATGTGTCATTCAGTAGTTGGACAGTATTTCTATCCATCGCATACAAAGGAAGCCACATTTCTCTACAATTCTCAGAAATTAAAAAGAGACAGACATTCCCAATTTGAATATCTATGAACGACTTCAAACTTTGGAAACCTGTGCAGAAATGTGGCTTCCTTTGTATGGCATGGACAGAATATTTGTCTGCTTTTGGAAGAAAAGTGCTCAATAGTAAAACAATAAAAATAAAAGGTATATATATATATATTTGTAGTTTTTATGCAGTAAAATTGAGCCATGTTGGGGGTATAGCAGTAGATGTACTGTAGAACATAGGTTTACACAGATATGTGCCAAAGTCCATAAGCGTATGTGGGATAAGACTCTGTATGTGTTAAATATTCTCATGGAACCAACATACAGGTAGTCCTCGACTTACGACCAGCAGAATTTCCATTGCTAGGCAAGGCAGTTCTGGAGTGGTACAGTGGCCTAGAGGTACAGCTCTTGCCTCACAATCAGGAGACTGTGAGCTCGATCCTAGGTAGAGGCAGATTTTTCTCTCTCTGGCCGCACTGAGAATATATCTGCTGAACGAAACTCCGCATTGGCGACAGGAAAGGCATCGGGCCATTAAAACTCTCAGCTAGCTCCGTTCAGTTGCAAGGGATTATAGGGTTGTTGAAAGAAGATGATGATGAGGCAAGGCAGTTCTTAAATAAGCCCTGTGCAATTGTACGAACTTTTTTTTTGCCATTGGTTGTTAAGCGAATCACTTCAGTTGTTAAGCGAATCATACGATTGTAAAGCAAATCCAGCTTCCCCAATCAACTTTGCTTGTCAGAAACATGCCGGGAAGGTCACGAATGGACGATGCAACCATCGTAAATACTTACCACTTGCCAATCCCCTAAATTTTGCTCACGTGATTATGGGATATTGCAATGGTTGTAAGCGCAAGAGCGA